AAAGTTTTGAGTGAGAAACTCTGTGGAAGTGTCGGAAGGAATATGAAAACTCTCATGCCATATATCATCATAATAATAATAATAATAATACACAGACCAATGTCTGTGTGCTATCGGTATTGTTATCGAGTCTCGTCGACTTCTGTGGGGCAAGAAGAAAATTTGCTTGGTTTGGTTTTTAAGGCACCATTAAAATTGCTTTTCTTACACGTATTTTTCCTTTGCAAATTTACAAGTTTTCAACAAATTGTCATTAATCATTCTTTTTTCTTACATACACATACACATTAATAAGTAAAAATTCATTTGAAATTGTTCTTGTTGCAGTTGTTGATGTTGTTTTGAGCTATTTTTATACACACACATGCACATAATTAATTTATCCCTTATGTTACAAATAGTCCCTACTATCCATACTATCCGCTGTTAACCCGTCAACGTGCGTTCTCCTCATTCTGTTTTAGTATTGTTTTTTTTTTTCATTTCGTATTTTATTTGTTTAGTTTTATTAATTTGTTGTAACTTGCGCAAAAAATTTACTAAATATTTCAAATACAATTAAATACAAGTGTACATAATAATTAATTTAATATATATGTATGTATATTTATATATAGATATATAATTTATTTATATATAGATATACGGTTTTGCCTCCCTTTAACGTTCATTCTTTGTTTTTGTTTTTGTTATTTATTTATTTGTTGTTGTTTAAAAAATGATTGCTTCAAATTGTCATCAGCGAAATATTTGTCTCTAAAATCACGAAATAGTTTCGCTTGATATTTTTTCTTTCTCTTTTTTGCACATTTTGCTTGATCCTCAATTTGTCTCTTCTTCTGCTGCTTTCTCCTGTTTTTTTTTTGTTTTTTTAGTCAATTAAAAGTAGAGAGTGTGTGCCTTAGTTAACAATAATGAACTAATCATTATTATAAATGTTTCTTTTTGTTTTTTTAGTTTTTATTTTTTATGCTATTAACAATTTTTTCCTGTAATCAAGTTTTGCTTCATAAGTGTTTTTTTTTTTGTTTTATAAGTATTATTATAATGCAAGAATATATTGTTGGGAATTTGAGAAACACATACGTTCTTCAGTGTATGCCCTTTCGCAAAAATAATTGCATGTTTGAAATGTTTTTTTTTGTTTTGGTTTTTTGCTTTAATTTCAATTCCATTTTCCATTCCACTCTAAATAATGGCTCCAATAATGTATGTTTGTTGTATGTAATTCTGGGATATGTTTTGCCTTTATATGTTTTGTAGTTTGAATAATTTAACCTTTGCTGATGATTACAATAATTTTGCATTTTAATTGGTTTATTTATGCTGCGGATATGTATGGGTGTTATTAATATATTCTTCTTCCCCTTTTCTGTTTGTTTATGTGTGTATGTATGTTGTTGTTGTTTTTTTATGTATAATTAATTTGTATAATCAAAATTTGACACATTTTTTCTGCCACAAATAATTTGCAACAAATTTATTTTTTTATATTTGTTTTTTTTTTTTTAACTAGCTTACGGATTGATTTCTCGGCTACAGTCTAAACCTAACACACATTTAAATTTGTATTTAAATATTCATTATGTTTATGTGTATGTCTTTGTGTGTAGGTGTAGGTGTGTGTGCTTTGTAACTAAATTCTGTTACTATTGTGGCTTACAATTATTTACTAATTTGTTTAACAAGCCACAGCTTCAATGCATTTCAATTGTTTTGCTTCCTGTTACCCAGCCGAAAAGAACGAAATTAAAAATTATAAGACAAATAATAATTAAAGTAAGTTTAACATTGAAAATCAGTTTATTTTTTGATGTTTTGTCGTTTTGCGTATAAATTTAACAGCTAATAAAATAAAATTATACTTTAATTGCAATATTAATAAGAATTAAATCCATTTTTCTCATTTTCCATCTAACAGAAAAAAGTCTTTTTAATCGCCGCAAATGTGCTTAAGCATTATATGATTGTAATTGAAATTTGGTCGCTTAATTTAACAGATTTTCGCTAAAAAAAAAGAAAAAGCAAAAATTCAATTTCAAAACGAATAAAAATTACACACATTGCAATATGTTATCTAACGAATATATAAATTTGGCTTCAAATGTTACGATCAGTTTTTTGTTTTCATTCTCAATCAACAAATTATAACTAATTTCGAAAAGGTCTTTAAAAATTTAGTTTAATTTAATTTAATTTAGTTTAATTTAATTAGTTAATAGTTTTTTGTTTTTGTTTTTGTTTTTGTTGTTTTTCCTTTGTTATAATATGTAGTTTAATCAATAAACAGAATAAATTTTGTCCTTCAGTCTAAACATATTCAAAAATCACAAATACAATTTCGATAACAATTACAATAATAAAAATAATAAAATTACAAATTATTATATCAATTAATATATATATGTATGTATAATGTAATGCTTATCGCCATATTTATATGTCGCCTTTGTTTACCATATATCAATATCTAAACAACAAACAAACATAAGAAATTTGTAGTGGAAATTAATTGTTCCTCTTTCTTTCTTTCTTTTGTTGTTTTATTTATTAGTTTTGCTTTTGCTTTTACTTTTACGTTTGCCTGTCTCTTTGCTTTGTTTGCGTTTGCTGTTTGGCCTTGGCTTGGCTTGGTTTAATAATATATTTATATTTTCTTTTATACCCATTTAATTATGTTTTTTGTTTTTGATGCCTTAATTTGATGTAATTGTATTTATGTATTTTTTGTTTTTGTTTCGTTTTTTGTTTTTGTTTTTGTTTTTGGTTATGCGCATGCACAATTACTTGGCTTAAAATTTAACTGCATTTAGAAATTTGCTTTTTATTTTTGCTGTATTTTTGTTGGTTAATAATTATTATTTCGTTTTTGTTTTCATTTGTTTTCTTGTGTTTCTTTTTCTGCTTTGTTGCATTTTGTCTTCATTTTGACTAAGCTTAGAATTAATTGCTGTTCTGTTCTTACTATGAGGGCGCAGCGCCCCGAAAACGGTTTAAACATAATGTTCATTTATATTTCCTCCTCTTCTTCATCTTCTTCTTCTTCTCTTTTTGCATTTAAACTTAATAAAAAATATCATAATTAATAAGAATCAATGAATAAATATAACGTTTATGTATGCTTACATGTCTCTGTTTGTGTGTGTGAGTGTTTGTGAGTGTATGTGTGTGTATGTGTGTGTGTGTGTGTATATATATATGACGTCTGATGCTTTATGCTTATTCTTGTGATCTGACACTGTCATATGATTTGCTTTATGTTTTTCTTATTGCTTATAATGTAACATTAGACATTCGTTCCCAATTCGCCGCATTCCGATGTTGGGGCTACGTTTGCTGCGGCTCCATTCGATTTCATTTTGCATTTTATTATTATTGTTTATATATTTTTTATATTTTCTGTTTAGTTTTTGCTTTTATATAAGTTGCTTGTTGGTTGTAGTTCTTGTTGCACTTAGTGTATGGGCGTTTTAACAATTGCACTGGGCGCAATATAATGATAGCCAGGTATGGGCAGTCCAGCGGTCTCCATTGATATTCTGTAAGTTAGGAAAAAGCGTGAGTTAGAAAATTTCCTTTTAAGTGGAGATGTCAATATTGTGGAATATTAAAACTAAAGCTCAGTGTTAAAATTGAACTAACTATTTAAAAGTAGGCAAATGTTTTTTATTCTAGTTAGAGCTGTATTCTAGACTTGTCTTTAAGTGCGACCATCTGGCATTATGGAACTCTATATAAATATATGTGAGAGATCTGAATTGTTGCACTTTGAAAACGAGTTTATTCTATTTAATTATTATATATAAAATTCAACTTTTTGCCTGCAAAGTTGTGCACAAAGTCTACACTCTCTATGCTCCTTGCCCACTCCAACTTCACTTTTGCCTAAATATAAATAAAATATTTCGAAAACTTGATGCAAATTTGTCCATTGTAGTATTTCTTCATTTTTATTACAAACGCAGTTTTTTCATTATAATTTTGTTTGATTGCATATAAATATGTTTTGCTTGTTTTGTTCGCAGCTAAGAATCGCGACTAAAGGTAAAAAGCGATTTCCTTTTAAAAATTGGTAAATGTGTTTGGTTTTTTTTTTACTATTTTCATTTTCAAACTATTCATGAGGAGTTGTTTAGTATTACATATACATTCAATTAGAATTTATTGGTTTTCCCGTTTTAGACTCAAACTACTTTGTATAAATGTCGTATATACGAGTATGTATTTTAGGTATATATATATATGTATGTATTTATGTATGTTATGTTCCGTATGCGTGTACATGATTTGGTTATAAAATCGTAAGCCCGCTTAGCTTAGCATAAACCTATTACAATTTGTGTCATTTCACTTAGTAAATAATAAAAAGTCCTTACATCTTATGTATTGTGTAAAGAGGAGAGAAATTTCAATTTCCGAATACTTTTCTTGTTGTTGCCATTTTAACAATTTTTTCACTTTTTTTTTTGCCACCAATTTAAAAATATTTTGGTTTTACTTGCTTGAGTACAATACAATAAAGAAATAATAATTATATGATAATAATAATAATAATAATAGTAATAACAAATGTGCGATCGTATAATAAATACAATACAATAATTTAGAAAATATGAAATTAATGTTTACAACTAATCCAATTATGACTTAAAAACAGTTTCAAGACTTCAAGTCCAAAACATAATAATAATAACGTTCATCGTGTCTCTCTCTCTCAATGTTTTCTCTCTCGCTCTCTCAGTTTCGCGCTTAACAACATTTACGAGTTCATATACTTTTCTCGCTGCCTTCAGTTGGCTTCTATATGTTTTCTTTTCAAAAAGTTTTTTTTTATTTTTTATTTAGTATTTTTAAGCTTTTGTACGCTCGTTTGCGTGGATTGCGTCAATTAGAGCGAATTGGTCCATAAAAGTCGTTGTGCCAAATTCTTTTGAGCACAATGCATTGGAATTTATATTTAATTTTTAAATTAGTTCTTAATTTCCATTTTTTGTCGTTTCTTTTTTTTTTTGAATTTTCATTTTCGTACAACTTCTTAAAGAAGTTTTCTGCTTCTCTCGGGGGAGATTTATACTTAGGAGCTAGAGCGTAAAATACAATTAGTGCTTAGTTGCTAATTAGATAATCAGAGAAAATATGAATAATAATAATTAATCGTAGATATATTGGAGAATGTATATAGGGGGTTATGGGGATTATATGACATTTGATATATGTTACAGTGAGTGCATTATAAGAGGAAAGGTTTTGGAAAATATATATGTATGTGCATGTATACTGCTACACCTGTTATCGATATTCGATAGTCAGCGATTCACAAACTATTAACTCGGCCTCTGTCACCAACTCTGTCTAAGTATGTGCTTAAAAAATTTGGCAAATTCTATTATGTACGTTCGTATGCTTGATGTAACTAGATATATAGAACGGGAATAGGGTCAAAGAACTAGTTATAACATCTACTAGAAGAAGGGTCCTTACGCAGCATTACGCATTTCACTTGGTCAAAGTTTTGATTACAATACTTGGGGCTAGTTTCATGATTTGTTTCTTGTTTCATTTCCTTTACTATATTCGATACACAAATTTGTTCAAGGGCTTGATCCGATCCAAAATGGGTATATTTATAATATATATATGTATATATATATTTTTATACATAAGTAAAGGTATATAGCTGTCATATGTGACAGCTATTCTATGCATAATATTTGTTTTCCATTTTCGTTTGTTTTCAAAAAACATTGATAAATATATGACAATCTATGACATCTAAGCACTATTGCCAGAACTATGAACTAATTTGGATACTGTTGCAATGGGGCTCTCAACTAGCTTATATCAAAATTGTCTTCGAATTGCAAATAGTTTTACACATTTTTTTACATTAGTTTGAAATCGGTATTACTAGAGTAAAATTCTTCGAGAATCCATTAACTCTAAAGCTGTCGCAACGCTATGATAAACGTGTTAAGAACTAGAAGAAGCTACAACTAACTCGTACTAAATTAGCAAATGATTCCTTTACTTATTTGGGGGCTGTCTACTTTTTCGGGCTGGTCGACTAGTTGGCCTACCCCTAGTAGGGATTAAACTTGTTGCGCGCCTTTTCCGATTCAACGCCCGCCTCGGCCTGATGCTGCCTGAAGCGCGAGGTCGCATAGTGACCCTTGGCCCGGTTCACGCCCGTGGTCTGTACCGGCGGACCGCCGGGCGTGCTATTGCCGTTGCTGCCCAGCGAGCTGAGGCTGAGCAGATCCAGAGCGCTGAGATTGGAGAGGGCGGTGAGTGCGCCCGGTTTGCTCAGCAGCTGCAAGGCGGAGGCCAATGGGCTGCCGCCTAGGGCAGCTGCTGCTGCCGCTGTCGTGTTCAAGCCCAGAGTTGCGCTGTTGTTGTTGTTGTTGCTGTTGCTGTTCTGTGTGCCATTCGTGGCATAATTGGAGGCGCTGCTGCTGCCATTGCTGCTGGCCGAGCTGTTGCTATTGTTGCTGCTGGCAGTGCCGTTGCCATTGCCATTGCCGTTGCCATTGCTGTTGTTGTTGTTGAGCGACAAACAACTGTTGCCATTGACACCGCCAGCAACGGCTGCTGCTGCTGCTGCTGCTGCTGCTGCTGCCGCCGCTGCTGCTGTTGTTGTCGTTGCTGCTGCAGTTGCGACACCAGCACCAGCAGCGGCAACACCACCAACAGCTGCCGCCAGGCCACCAGTGCCATTCTGTGCTGCCTGATCCTGAAGATTGGCCTTCTGCAGTTCAACGCTGTGGATGAGGTACACAGAGAGATAGATAGAGACAGAAAGAAAGAGAAAGGAACTTATGGGATATTGTTTTTTTTTTCTTTTGTTCAAAACATTTTTTTTTGGTGATTTTGTGGAATTGAGTTGGTCATTTCTTTACTTTTTTTTTTTTTGAATTGCTTTAGTGTTTTGTTATGCAAAAAAGGTTAAGGAGGTTTTTGTGTGGAGGAACGGTACGGAGTTAACGGATATATAGCAAAGCTCTAAAGAGAACTTTTTTGGGCGCTATGTTTGGTTTGTTGATGGTTTGGGAGCGGCGTTCAAATTTTTTTTTTTTTTTTTTTGTGGATGTTAGGAGTAGAAAACTTGTTTATTTGACTTGTTGTTGTTGGACTTGGACCGAAAAAACAGTATTTAAGAGTTTGCAGGATTATAAAAACTTTTTTTGGTGGGATTTTTGGTTAAGTTTAGTTTGTTGCGGGTTGGGGGAGAGAGGAGCATAGTTTTTATTTTTTTTTTGTTTTTAATTTTTAGGTTGGTGGGTTGAACTGCAGCTTCTTTTTTGTTCGTTTTGAAGTACCAATTTGTTTTTAGTTCCAGTTGCGTTTCGATTTTGTGCGAGAGTGCGACGCGTGACGTTGTTTTAGTTGAGATGCTGTCCATTTAGCTCCTGCTCCTCCTCCTCCAAATTGACTGCTGAGCTGAGCTGAGACTTTTGCATATAGTTCAGATATATACATTGGTATACTAGATGCTAGGTTATATATATTTATATATAGAATTAAACGTTTTTTTGTTTGTTTTTAAATAGAGTTTTTATGTAATACTAGAGTTTAGAGTTTTGCTGGTGCTGAATTGGTTTTTCATTATTTGTTTTATTATTGTCTATGTATGAAATTGTGCATTACATTTCAGTAGATTTTGGAACTACATATGAGAGAAAAGCAGTTAGGTGCTGAATGCGGGCTTACGACTTATACTTATAGAGTAGAGTAGAGTAGAGTTGAGTTGAGTTGAGTTGAGTTGAGTTCTGAGCTTAAGCTTAAGTTAACAAGAGTTTGAACGCGCTGCCCCAATGTTCTACATAGATTTAGATTATTAAAAAATGACTGAGAGACCGAGACGACCGATACAACCGATACGACCGACGACCTCCTTAGACCTTGTTTTCTCACTTTGTCAATTTGCAAATCAATTCGACAAAATTTTTGTTAACACAACAAACAGACACACACAGAGACATACATACAGACACACACATAAATATTTGTTATGTACATAAATAAGTGTTGAATCTCAGACTCACCTCATGTTGATTAAGTATTGGGCCAATGCCACAGAGTCCGGATTACCGCTTATGGTTATGGTGCGATCGGTATTGCCGCCCTCGCGCTCCTCACAGTTGGAGATGCGTATCATTGCGCCGGAGATCTGACGTATTTCAGCGATTTTGGTGCCGCCCTTGCCGATGATGCAGCCAATCAAATCATTCGAAACTGTCATCTCATGCTGCTGCTGCTGTGCCCGATTCGCATTGGCCGTACGCAGCTGTGAGCCAGCCAAGGCAGCCAGAGCTGTAATTAACAATAATAGAAACGAAACAAAAAAAGAGAAAGAAAACCATTTTCATATATTTTCTGCATAATCCCATTGTATATCATGGACTTACCTGTGTGATTTATGCCAGCGGTGCTGGCGGGCGTCATGCCGGCCAGGCCCAAGGCAGCCAAACTGGCCAAAGGATTCTTGGCAACCTGTTGGAAAGGCAACTGGACATTAAAATCAATATTCATTTCATTTATCTTCTTCTTGCTGTTATTATTATTATTATGATTATGTTCTTGATAGAGGAAGTATATATATATATATATATGCATAGAGTTGGGCACATATTAGTTGAGTCTCATGTTTTTTGGTTTGGTTTTATTACACAACATTTTTGTTTTGATAGAGTATTAACTTGTCGTAAGGATTGGGGTAACACAACACAACGCGCGTACAGCTTTCAAAAAACAGTTAAATAAACCATAAAAATAAACACAAATATACAAATGAAATAAAACAAACTCGAACACAATGAAAATACAAGGATATATATATATATATACATAAAGGAAATGCATCAAAAGCAAAGCCAACGGAAAGAAAAACAAATTTTGTTTACATATTTTAGACAAATATTATTAATACTTTTATACAGGTTAGAAAAAACATGTTAAATAGATGTTCGAGTGTGTGTGTGTGTGTGTGTGTGTTTAGTTTGTGAAAGTATATAAAATGTTCAGTGTGTGCAGTGTGTGGCAAAGTCTAATCTTCAAAAGTTCTACACAATAAAGAGACGAATTAATATATGAAATATTCGATAGAGATAGAGAGCAAGAAAGTACATTTACTTAAACAATATATTAAATAAACAGCTTTGACGTTTTGATATTCAATTATATACATATATTATAGAGAGCAAAATACTACAATAGCTAAACCGAGTTTACTTAGAGCAGGAAAATCTTAAGTCCTGCGCCTTGACCTCAATATTTAGTTAGCTTCAACTACAGCCAAATGTTTAAATTAATAAATAAATGGCTAAATACCTGCTATACCTCTGACTACATAAGTAACACTGAGTTCTTAGGCTCTTACTACAAAGTGCAAAAGGTTATTTGAATGACCCACAGCCAGTTAGTGCTGTCTCTCTTATATACACACAATATTCCTGCATCCTGTATGAAATTAGAATTTTTTATTTTGGCTCTGAATCCTTAACCCCATTCCATTGAGAGCATCTATGCATATGAAGCAACTCTAGCCAAAAAAAAAACCAGTTTTTTCGTATTTCATTTTTTCTTTTTTGTAACTTTTTCAAGAACTTGCATATTCATAGGTATCGAGAGATTTGCATCCACAACACCTACAGCAAATACACGCACATATACGCAGCCTGTACAAGTACATTATATACATATGCAACATATATAGATATATACATATACATATACACATATATATCTGAGCAGGGTTGGGGCAGACACGCGCTTTATAAATTAATCAAATCAAATGCAAAGTTTTGCAAATAATAAATGAATGAATGTTGCACAGATATGTCTATATATATATATATATATATCTACACACATATATAAATATACACAAATGCAACGCACAGCTAGAACTAGGGGAAAAAATATATATCGCGACACAAAAAAACTGAAGGGTAGAAAAATCATCAAATATTGAAATGAAATGTTTGTGTGTAAAGCGGTGTGTGTGTGTGCGCGTGTGTGTGTGGCATATATGTATACCAGATATTTGGTATATAAAAAGTTGTATGTGTGTGTGTTTTTTTAAATCAAATATTTATCTAATGCACAAACAAATACAACATGCTCGATGCTTCACTGAATGCAATAAAAATTATTTTTTTTCCTTTTGCATTTCTCTTATGAAAATGGAACTGAACTTGCAACTGAATAACAAGAGGGAATTAGGACGGGGGCGTGGACGCGGGCGTGGGCGGTCGTCATAGAAAGTAGCGTTTGGCATATTAAATAAACATATCTTGTTGCAGCAAAAATTGAAACAATTCACAAATGATGCTGCAACCAAGTTTTGTGTCATAAAAATGCATTTGATGGGTTGTTGGGGCACGCTCCCGAGTGGCGGGATTTTTAGTGTGGCTCAACTAAAAGGGATACAGGAAACAGGAAAAAAAAACAGGAGCAAAAACAAACAAACAAAAAACAACCCACAGCAACTTTGTGATCCAACAGCGGCTTGGGGCTGGGGATACACACAACGTTAATGTTATTGAAATGTGCCCTGACCACAGTTGCAGCACGGGCATCGTAAAAGAAATGGCAGAGGTACTAAAGGTACAACTACAGCAACCCGCAAACTACACAAAGAAATTGAGGCTGGGTGACGGGGGAACGGGGTAACACAACTACAGAGTGGGTAGCAGGATACATACGGAACACGAGTAACAACAAACAGCAATGCACAAATACAACGATATAGAGGGCGGGGCAGGTGCTGCAAGGGAGTTCGGTTCATGTACAGCTAGAGGGTACAGCTCGAATACAGCAACACATGCCAAAAAAGAATCAAATGCTGTCCTGGCTCATAAGCTTGACTTTTCGGGATGTATATTCATGTTTCTGTTTTCAGTTTTTTCCTTTTTTTTTTTTGTTGCCAATTTTTTCGATTATTGTTGTTGGTATTTGCGGATCAATCAAAACTCACATCGGGCATTTGCTGTAGGTGATGGTGGTGTGCTGGTACCGCTCCTGGTAAATGTGCCCCCTTTAACAAAGGATCCGCTAAGCCTGAAATACCAGCGTGTAGACCACCGGTAGCCAAAGCAAGTGGAAATACTGGACAGGTCTAATAGTATTTTTTTGGTTGGTTTTCGTAACAGTATTTTTTTTTAATTTTTGTGTACGTGGAATTTGAAGGTATTTTTTGTAGTTGTTGTTTTGCAAAAGTTTTCAAAGAAGAAAAAAGTAGAAGAACAAAAATTGATTTACCAAACATAAATTTTGAGCTCAAATATCTGTTTTTTTTTTTTATATATAAATATAATTCATAATGAAATATATATAATATATATATATCTCGCTTTAGTATTTTAGTTGGAAGCTTGCACAGTTCTCGTTCATTGGGACACAGAAAAAGCTTTTGAAGGACAGAGAGAAAAAAATACAGTGTGCAGAGTTTTGGTGTAAACGAAGGCAGATCATGAATTTTAGTATATATATGACATAAGGTTGGTAATATATATCAGAAAGAAAAAAACAAAATATACAAATGATAAACAACTAAGAGCACAAACTAACAGTGGAGAGGGCAAACGATTTTGGGTCTGAATACTGTTGCCAGATCGGGTTAGCAAACCGTGAATGGATACTAAAAGTACTTGATGAGCGAAGGTCAATCGGGCCACTGGAAGTTGTCAACTTTGTACGCAAAAAGTTAAGAAATGTAGCAAAGGTAATAATAAATTAGACAAGGTACATCTGTACCAATTTAGTTTTGGTACAGGTGTAGCTAAGTGTCATACTAACTTGCACTCATTGCGTACCTAATTGACAACTGCTGGACCGCAACTATTGACTGGGTTTATTCATTCAACACTACACGCCGCATTAAGCTAAAAACCAACACCGACAATAACCAAGGGCGGGAAGAGAGACAGAGAGAGAGAGAGCGAGAGCGAGAGAGTGAGAGAGAGACGGTGAGACTATTTTGTTTGAATTATTGTTTTTGTTTGCGGACATTAATTGAATTTGAAGTGACAACAAAAACTTTTTGTTTAGTTTTAAAACTATATTTGTTTGGAACAAAGTGACTGGCGAGGGCTTAGAGGACTGAATATCAAATTGTTGTTGTCGCAATAATATTTAATTTTGGACTGGGGGTATCAAAGAAATATATATAGATATACTTATATATAGTTTGTATATACGGACAGAGTTGAGTTGAGTGATGTGAGGGCTCGGGCAGGACGAAATTTGAATAGTATGTTGTTGCAGTTGCTAATTGCATAGTTGCTGTTGTTGTTCTTGTTGTTATATTATGTTAAATGTTGTATAATATACGAATACACATAAATATATATATGCATTTTTAACTCATCTAAGGTATCAACATTATATTGCTGACGCATTAATTACTCTTGTCGTTGTCGTTGTTGTTGTTGTTGTTTTTGTGGTGATTAAAATTGTTTCGTAAATGGGATTTTGTTGTTTTGGCAAATGAACTTAACATTTTAATATCTGTTTGTAAGTATTTACTACACAAAAATTAAGAGTATTAAGTTGGTTTATATATATATATATATTATACCGAAAATAAACGTGGGATAAATAGACAATTTGATGTTGTTTAATTTGATTTACTTTTACTTTCAGTTATTGTTTCTCACTCAAAAGGGTTTGTTGTGTGTTGTTTATGAGGTATGTTTATATATATATATATTATTATTATCTTTTTGTATTTTTTTTTTTTTTTTTTTGATTATATTATAGAGCTAGTGTAGTTTGAACATACTTCTCCACACGCTGCACGCGAGCCCTCGTTTCGATTACAACACACACATACAGAGATATAGAGAGAGAGAGTAGAGATAGACAGAGATAGATGAGAAAACCATTCGTTTAGTTTTGTGTGTGGCTGTGAGACTAGTGAAGCCCCCGCACGAAAACTCACTCGGTTGCAGAACCCTAAAACCAAAGATTCCAAAAGTGCGGCCGCCCCCTATTGAAAAAGCGGGCACGACGCACTTGACGAAATCGAGCGAGAGAGCTGACACTCTCTATACAAGCTCTTAACCTGAGAGAAGAGAGTGCGAAAGAAACTAAAAAAGAACACAAAAAAAATTATGTAAAAATTTATTTAAAAATATTATTAGATATAGTTATTAATCAATCAATCAATTTTTTTTTAGTTGCTGCTGTAAGTGATTAACATTAGTTCTTTGATTCTCGGGACGGGGCGGGGGGCCACCTTTTGGACATTTGAAAATTGAGATATTCGTTTGGCTGGGTTCAACAATACAAGATTTATAAATGTGTGAATGAGCGCAAAGAAACGGTAATCGACTGGGTGTAATAAGTGGACATTGAGCACCAACAGTCGGATGGCATCCAACTGAAGGAACTGCGGGACATTTCAAAACTGCGATGAGAGAGGGTTACAAGTCGGTTCGGCTCTAGACAGTGGCCAAGGTTCAAGGGATTGTTCGATAAAAGTTTGTGGATAACAAAGATAGAGATTGAGAACAGAGATAGACAGAGAGAGAGATAGAGGTGCAAATAATAAATAGGTATTTTATACGAGCATTGAATATAATTATAATTAGAGTGGATTAACTAAAGACTCTTGTTTTATACACAAAGATAGGCATAGAAAAAGAATGTACACAAAATTAAATAAATAGAGTTGTAAGTTGAGGCAAACGGTTTTGTTTCTTTTGGGTTAACCAAATTAGATATAATAGCCAAAAGAATATAGAAAATACAAAAATGTTATTTAGCTTATGAAAAGAATGGCAATAAGAATAAATGAAATTGGATTACGATGTATTTGGAAACAGTTAAAATATAGAAATTAAGATAGATATTTATAGATATAGAAAGATTCGGCAGTAACTAGCTATAGAATGCGGCGGCGTTATTTTTGATCAATTCGAATACATCTCACAACACGGCTTAGGCTAGACATAAATAAAGATCTGACGGCACTGTTTAACATACCTCTTGTGTGGGCACCGCATAATTGCCCTGTATGGTAAAGGCCTGTCCGTTGGCCAAGATAACTGGTCCAGTTACTTGCGGCTTTGGTCGATACGGTATGGTAGCACCGCGTGGCGGGGACTAATTAAAAGAAGAAATAAATAAATATAGAAATATTAGTTATATACAAACTTGACGCTGTAAACTACTTTTATTATAGGAAAAACTGCAAATTAAAACTTTTCCAATAGTTTTTAAAGGTTAATGAATAAATTATGGCTCTATCTAACCATAGGTGGCGCCACTCTATGCTTATAACAACAACTAACAATTGAGCCCTACATCTATCTACACATAGATGGCGCCCCAAACACTTGAATTCACTTTCGCTTAGGATAGCTTACCTCCAACATGACAAGACATATCTGATAGATGCATTGGGTAATCTGCTCAGCGCTGCCACTCAAAGTAACCGCACGCTCCGTGGAGTTTGGCAACATTTCGCTGGCCACCTGTATGGAGCAGCCTGTGGTTTGGCGTATTTCCTTAATCTTTGAGCCACTCTTTCCTGAATGTCGCAGCCCATCAATGAAGTAAATAGACAACAAGACAAAGAGAGAGGAAGAGAGAGAGAGACAAAGCTGGTTCATATTTTGACTTTATACATATTTAGCTTATATATATATACACACCAATTAACGATCCACATTGACTGGCGGGCACAATCAATCGAATGGGTATTTGAGTTTTACCAACTTTGCCAACATCATTGAACTGCGAGCACCACTGAAACGGGTTTCAAGTTAGTAATGTGAAGCGTGAGCTAATTTCAAGAATTGAGTACAACAAACACTATTCTGCCACCAATGCAGACTTTCTCTTGCCAAATCGCAATTGCTTTGTATATATATAGTATTTGACTATTTGCTTGTTGTATCAATTATTGTGTGCAGATTATGCAATCTACGGACTGTGCATCCGTTTCAATCTAGCGCACACATACCTCTTCAAATTTCTTTGTAATTAGCGTAAATGCCGAGAAGATTGCATTTGTTGTGCCAGATACCGTTACAATGCGTTCCGGGCATGAGCCATCCGAAATGTTAATTTTGGCACCAGACTGTAAAGATTTATAGACGATACATAAATACATGCCAAGTTATTTTTTTTTGCTAAATAAGTGGCTTACCTCTTCACGAAATCTGTTGACAATTTCACCCTTTTTACCAATAATACTACCAACTTCCTGTAAATAGAAAGAGACGAGATTGTATAAGTATGAAGAATAGTCACAAATAATTATAATATTTTTTAATATTTCTAATTGCATACAAGAAATTGTCTAAGAGCCATAAGATCGGCTTTCTAATGGTATATTCAAAGCCTAGGCTAACTTCTTAAATATTTATAGTTTGTTTATTATATTTTACTGAACTTAATATCGTTATGCAGAGCATTACTAAGTCTCTCATTACTTTGTTCAATTCACATATGTTTTTCGTTTTATTTCATTTTCTATTTTGTTGGCAGCAACTGCTCCAGCGATGTGCAAATTCGATTAAATATTAAGTGATATTATGCCATGTGTAAATGTATGCGTCTGTCTGTAGCTCTCTCTCTCTCTCTCACTCTCTCTATCTGTGTGTGTGTAACTACATTTGCATATTTAAGTGACGCAGAAAGCGATTCGCATTCAAACCAAACCAGAGCTCAAATCATGGCCCCGTCGCCCCACACATACAGAAATTGACGCTCGTAATGAAATTTGCGGGCAACGCGTTTTACGCGTTTTAATTGATTGTAAATATATGACACAGCCGCAAGGGTGTATATACATACATACATATCTATACACACACTCATATCTGTGCATGTGTATCTATGATATAGCACTTCAGTTAGCTCTAATTGGCCGTCCTGCAAAAGTATTGAAACAATTTTGCTACTCACTGAAACTTGAACAAGTTTTGCACACCAATCAATAATAAAATAGAAAAAATAAAAAATAAATAACAAAAATAACAGAATGTATATCGAGAAATAAATCACATTAATTACACAGCAGCTGTCAGCCACACTCGTGTATCTATGGAAACGTGCTGAAATTTCAACTTTGCCAAATGTTTCTTTTCTTTTTTTTTTTGTATCTTATTTTTCGTTTATTGAAAACTGCGTTTTGTTTAAAGGCATTAATTAAAAATGCATTTTAATTGGAATTCGAGCCAGAACGACCAATAGACATTTATATCATTTCCATTTTAAAATATCAATTAAAGTTGCAATCGCAATTCAATCGATGAGAAACTTCACGGCTCAGCAGCAACTGATTTAGTCTAATTGAAATCATTTTACTCTCTGCTCTATGACAGTTTACAAATTATCATCGGAATGCCATTAATCTTACAAATTAAACGTCAATATATTGAGGGAACATAACTGATGTGAATTGCACTCGATTTGCATTAAGCAAATATTCGGCTAATGCAAATGACTATTGATTATGTCTAATGAAGTTTTTCGGCTATTACGAGAGTGGGCATTGGAGATAAAGCATAGCAACTGGAAGGAGTTTTAGGAGTTTATTATTGAATAGAGAAAACGTTTGCTTACAGCGAAACTTAAGCTTTTTATATAGAAACATATATATAATATATGATGTATGAAATATATGTTATATTATGGTTAGGCTGATATGGCGGCATATTTTTAGTTAACCCTAAACAAATTTCATAGCTGTTGGATTATTAGCAACTTTTTTTTAGTTAGCAAACAATGCATCGTCTCACAAATCAATGAAAACAATGGCATGATTTCTACAGATCCCAGTCCCAGTGAGTTTTTCCTGTTTTCTAAGAGACTGCTCACTCAAGAGAATGCTCACTGAAATGAAATTTAGGGTCAACGAAGGGTAATCGCCTCAACTGAAGCCTATTTTGAGGCTAAAAACAAATCGTATTCTAAAACCTTTAATGCAAAATGGTATAGCCACTATAATGGTTGTATCATCCTTAAACACAACAATATTGAATACTAAGATCAAATTTTATCAAAAGGAATATTATTTTATGTTGGTCTACGAATTAGCCATCAAAACTATAAGGTATAATTTATTTAAAATAAAATATAAATTATATATAATAAAATATATAAATTATATTTAATAATATATAAATAATTTATAATAAGATATATAATGTTTTATAAAATATAAAGTAAAATGATATAGATTGAAATTTATATTAAGTCTGAAACTAAATCTCGTTTTGCTTCACATTTTGCAACAATTTAAATTAGTTTTGTTTCTCACACTTTTACAAGCCAACAACACAATACCCAAAATGAAATATTTTAAAAATATATTTTGTATTTTTTATTGAATATTATTTAACAAAGATTGCCTAAGCTGGCATTGCATATAGTAGCAGCGTTTTTTCATGCTTTAAAGCTATGCACAGGGATTTAGTACAAAAGTCTTTGTTAACCTTCAAACAGTGCAGTTTATGCGACTGTCGCAAAGTTTATCTCAATTTCTAAATGCCTATCCATGGCCACACACACACACAGACACACTCACACACATGCTTAGACAATGCAAGGTATAAGTATTTTGGGCACTTTGCCAGTCTGTCACAAAGTGCAGAAGCAAGAGCAATATAAATATGATATAGTCGTCCCCACGCCACCCTCTACTCTACAAAATCTATGCAAAAATCGTACTTGTCTTGGCTTTGGTCTGTCTTTTGTGGGCCATTTTGCATTTTGTGCCAGCTACTTGTACACATATATAATATTTATGCCCATGGTGCTAGGCTAAATGGCCGAAATATTTATTAGACACAAATGTCAGAAGGAATTGCCATAATTATTAGCATGATTATGGTCTATGCGTCTATTGCGTTCTTATGCCTGTCTGCACTCAAGACAAATTTTGACGGCGCTCTATAATTTATGGGGGCCTCTCTTGCAATAGGCATTCACACACAAAGTGTATTTCTCAGAGTCGAAGTAGCCTAAGCCAATGGCTATTAAGTTTGATGTGCTGCTCATTAGCGACGGATGCTCATCATCATTAATACGGTGGTCAAAATGCGGCCATTACCTTCACCGCCTGCCCCACCGTCAGGGCCCGCGCTGCCAGCACCAGCTTTTTCCTTCTCTCATTCTCCTGCGTATCAATTGCCATTTGCGGCTTAGAAGCTTACGCAATTTGCATAAATCTGTATGGGTCAGGCGATAAGCTTTAGACATTCCATATTCGTACACAACACACGCACACACACACATACATTTCTACAATCTCTGCACTTTCACTTGATTGCATTTAGCTACTGCTGCTCCTTTTGCTAAATGCCCGACAAATTTCTCCACAAAGTTCGCATTTAGCCAAATGCAGCCCACCTCACCGCACCACACCACACCATACAGGCAGGCAGGCAGACAGACAGACAGCAGCACCACACATTTTACATGCCAGCAATTAAATGCTAAAATTTTGCACTTCCAACTTTTGCAACCATCCCATGCATCGATTTGTATGCAAAAATTCACTTTTGCGGTTGCGAATTCAAAATTTTGCATGTCATTTCGTGTTTTTGTTGTCGTCATGTGTGTGTTAGTGTTTGTGTGTGTGTTATAAAATATGCATAGAAGAAGTGTACACTGGCTGAAAACGAAACATTGTGCACATTTCTGTGGTTCACTGTGCATACACACACACACACACACACACTCCCATACACACACATCTCATGCATAGACATCAGCACCAGCATCAGCTTAGCCAGCTTCTATAAAAGATGGCAAATTTTATATATGTTTATCGACTGATGGCAAATATTTGAAGCACAAACGTATTTCGTTCAAAATATAGTAAAAACAAATAGTTGACCAAACTGCAAAGACATCATTTTAATTTCTTTTTAATTACTTAAAATGATTTTAATATACTCTGGGTATGAGAGTTTGCTTTGAAATGAATAAGAAATGGAAATGTTGCATTTTCTGTTCGATTGAATTTTAATTATACTAAAAACTTAATGAAATATTTTTCATAGAGCAGAAAACTAGCAACTGCATTGATAAAGAGCAATATAAAATGTAAATGTGAAATATTATTTTTATTTTTATTTTTACAGATGATAAATTTCTCCTATTAGGCTCGATGATAGATTATCCTCCCTCTATATATAAGCAATTATCTAAGGAAAATCTATACATACATATATTTATTTATTATATATATGAACAATCATCATCATCATTTATTTATGGTTATATGCTAACTATCTGTCAATGTATCCATGTATAAAATGAGAAAAATCTATCATTACGGCAAATTTAACAGCTATTCTCTATTAAGGATAATTATAAATTATTTCTCTATACATATCAATATATTATATATTTCATCATCTATCTATAGTGCAAACAATGAGGAAAATCTATCATCTGCCTTCTGTCGATTGTTATCAATCATTTATCCTTAGTTTACGCATGGAATGAAATCTATCTTGAATTTTTTATTTTATATTATATAATCTATCATCTGTCTATAGTGTATATATAAATATAGTTGATAAAAGATAATAGATCGCATCTATTCCCTGTTAAGTATTATCATTTATCATTTATTTGAGTTGTATAATATTTTTATCGTTGTGAAAAATAAACTACCACTATTATATCTATAGAGTAAGCTATCAGTCTATCCATTATAGAGTATATTTTATTAGCTATTTGTAATGTATATATTACTGAAAATTTATATACTTTTATTTTTATTTATTTATTATTTTCTATTACGTATCTATTAGGGTACCAATTGAGAATGAACTATTATCTATATATGCTGTATTATTTTGTTTAAGCTAAAGCTACATTATATATTTTAAATATATTTTTTATTTATTTTTTATTTATTTCCTCACTAGAATTTTTTAAGCTGTAGAAGGATCTTTTTCAGCACTATTTATTTATTGTTATACAATCATAATTATTATTATTAATATTTCTCAAGAGTTTCGTCAAATGTGTCACTTTTCTGCATTCCATAATCGATTTGCCTCCCATTCAAAGCAAACTCATATAAATATATACACACATAACCAAAGATATTTCCATGTACTGTTTGCGGTACAGAATCCTATCAGTTGTTACGTGTAGTTCGACATTCTTTAACTTTCAGCCAATTAGCAATGGCAATGGAAAGAGACGAAATGCAACTGTGGCTGTTGCTGTTACTTTTAT